TTTATCAGGCCACCATCTCACCCTGTGCTACTCCTGGTTTCCTTCTCACATAAGCATCAGTGCATCACGTCTGTGGTGAACAGGATCAGGTAATTTAAACTAGCTGGGTGCCAACTGTTTTTATTCTGTATTTTATTTTATTTTTTTATTTTTAAATTTTCAGATCAGTTGTTTGATTTCCTGATCTGATCCACTGTGTGGCTTCTTGGTCGTCTCTGCCAACACATGGGAGGAGGCAGTGTGAGCAAAGGAGCAAGTGATATGGAGGGGAGCACACCATGCTGATTCTTTCATAGCCGTGATCGAATATGAGGTCAGAAAGTCTTGGCCCTGTGATGGCAAAGAATGTCCAAGATGTAAGAAGCAAATTCAAGAGGTTCCCTGTAAGGAAGAGAATAAAGCGAAATAGCTGGAGAGCAAGAGCTGGGAGTCCTGTAGGGCATGAGAAGCAGCTCAGGTAACCTTACAAATAATCAGGTGTGCTCGCTGCTCAGCTTAGGCTGGCAGCATAGAGGAGAAGTCCCACAGATAATAACGACTTGAGAATGCCCGGTCACTCACAGTGTTTTTGCAGGATGTCCTTCTTGCCCTTGGCTTATTAGGATAAAAATACATTTCCTGTATGTGCAGTTCATTGGCTATTCTGTTCTCAGACTTACTGCTGCACATAACTGGAACTGCAGGGTCTTGTCTTCTGCAGAATTGGCTTTGGTTCCTCCTTGCCAGACAATTAGTCCCAAATATTTATGGGACTGCAGAGGACGTCCCAGGAGTTGAAAGTGATCTTTTTCCAGCACTAGGTGGCTCTGTGGAGTTCTGCAGTATCCTATACAGAAATGTTTAAAAAGTTAAGGTATGGACAAAAAGAAAAACTTTCGCATTTTCTTTCCCTCAATAATTTTTTATTTTTTATTTTATTTTAGTTTAGTTTAGTTTTAGTTTTAATGCTAGAAAATCTAAGAATAAGAGTCTTTTCTTTTTGTAAGCTGATCACTGGCTTTCAGGTGCTCAAACTGCTTGGAGGCCCTTTTGTGCTCCCCACTGCCTTTGCACCAACTAATTCTGGTAGGTCTCTGACTTCTGGTGACTCTGAAGAGCTGCTGTAAGATTTGCTGAAGGACTTGCTGACAGACCAAGTTTTGAGAGGGCATCATCGTCATACCAGATGTCTGTTGTGCTGGGTACTGTAGATGGGTAGCAGAGGCTAATTTTAGGCCCCAGATGTTTTTTTATAACTGCTTAAATGCTTGAACTGTGTTGCTTTACAGCCTTGTTTCGTGCTTGCTTTGTTGAAAGCTCTTGGATGAGGATCCTCAGGACATAAGGGTAACATGCAGGAGTGCTTGAACTTGAGTTTTGGACACTTGATCAGACATGAAAAGGAGATGTTGCAGTAACTCACCTGACTATGTAGATGCAAGGCTGGGAGTGCCAACAGTGATCTCTTGCTAAAGCCCCCATCACAAGAACACAAAGCATTTCAGAGGCTTTTAACAGTACTTCCAGAGAGTGGCCAGCAGTTTTCTCACCCATATTATTCTGTTTGACAGAGGAAACAAAAGACTAGTTGGATACATTATTGTGAACTGCTTGTGAAATTCTTTACACTTAGCAATGTAAATCTGCTGTGGGTATTCTACTGGTAAGGATAGCTCTGATTTTTGCTAGGATGGCTTCCAGTGTCAGACATCAGTAGACAAATACTTCCTGTAGCAGAACTGTCTTCACATCAGGCCAAGGAGATTTTGGCAGTGCTGAAAGATTTGGTGGTTTTTATTTATAAATATGTAGTTTAAGGCAGGAATATCTTCCTTGTAATATATATAATATAATAGAAATAGCTTTATTTATTTATTATTTAATGTAATATATAATAATAGAAATAGCTTTTTGCCTTCAGAGGTCGACTGTCCTAGTTGAAGATGGAAGGTAGAGGATGGTAGCCATAGAGCATTAGTAAGTCTAATTGGCAAAGCTTGTTTAGACATCACAGCAGATGAGGGTGTTAGTGTGGGATTTATAGGAGGGTAATGAAGTAGATAATATTGCAGTTTCTTCTAAATGTCAGTTCTTTATAATGAGAGAAGGCCTTGTAAGACAAAGCAAGCAGACAGTAGCAGAGGGCATCATGGTACCTGATAATGTGGGTTGAGCTGCTTCCAAGTGACTGCTGAGAGGCGCGTTGGCCAGGAATGCATCGAAGCGTACTGACAGCTGAGGAGGAACACAGACACTGCCTTACTACGATCCAAGCCACTCATGTACATTAAAACTACTGTCCTGGAATATGTTTAGTGGAAAAGTATTTGGGCAAGAGTTTGGTTTTGGGGTGGAAAAAAAATCAGTTAGTTTTAGTGTCTAATTTTATACTGAAAGCAAACTTTCTTGTTTGCCCTCTGAAGTCAGCAGCAGCATGATGGGTCTCTGGGGGCACAGCAGTGCTGGCCGGAAGCGGCCTGCCAGGGCTGCTCTGGGATTTGTTTTCTTTTGATTATGGGAAAAATAACCCGAGATATTTCTGTGCGTGCGGAACATTCTTAATGACTGAAAAATGTGTTGTCAAGTAGGGACAAGGCAGGAAGTGCCATCTCAAAAGACAACTAAAATGTGTTTGGATTAGCTCTAAAAACCCAAACAAATTTATTTTTCTACTTCTAATTTAAAAAAAAAAAAAAAAAAAAAAAAAAAAGAGAGAAAGTCACACAGCTAAACCTGAGTTCACTCACTGCAATGGAGTTTATGGGAGTTCACTGCTCACTCACTTCCTCTGAGGTATGAATTACTGATCTCCTTCAGAATGCATGAAGTGAGAAATGTGGCAGAGGTGCTGCCCCACGCAATGTGGGGGATCTGGTGAGGCTTTGTGCCAACCTGCAGCTCTAATCAGCCCTGTTAGGACAGGAGGAGAGAGGCTAGAGATGCTGTTCTCCTGTTTTCTGTGGTGTCTGGGTAGCTGGCCATGCTGCTTGCAGAGGGAGGCTCTGAGTACGTTCCTTAGGGGTATCTTTGTCTGAAATAACTTTGATATTTCCAACGGAAAAACATCCTCTGGTGCCATTCCCATGTCCTTCAAAGTCTTGGCACCATGCAGGAAGCAGAGTGGTGGCCATCTGCTTCTCACCCTGAGCCACTGGCCAGGTCACCTCTGGCTCTGCTCACTTCTGGGCTGTCTTAGATTTTAGCTCAACAGTCTGCAACTTTGTTTTCACTTGAGGAGCACAAAGGATGCTTCTTGCCGCGCTCCTGAGGCTGGTTTGTTGTAGCAGGCTGAGTGGTGGTGCCTCTGGAAACGCTGTCACCAAAAGCAGCGCAGGACATTTGTCCCCATGTTTTGGCTGCAGCCAGTGTTCTGCTTGTGTGTCCTGCTCCTGCCTCCTCTGCTGCCTGTCCTTGAGTGTGTATCTGCAGCTTGCACCGGGAGCACTTTTGCAATGGTAAAATGGGATATTCAGTACATTTCAGCTGGAAAGGGAGTAGGAAAACATAGGCTGCCAGCCAGCAGAGCACAAGGAAATGTGTTATGTAGCCATGTGTCAGTTATCACCTGTCTCCAGAGTGATTTTTGGGATACATTTAAAATACTCTGTAACACTCTTTGGAAGAAGCAGATGGTTCTTGCTGGTGAAACAAACAGCAATGACACATTTTGCTGTTCCTTTGTAAATAGGGTTGGCAGCTGGCAAGCTACATACAGTTCTGCTCACCTGTTCTTCACTCCTGTTTAAGATGTCAGCACTGCTGAGTCCCTGCAGTATTCTTCCTGCAGATCTGCTTTTCTTCTGGCCTGCATGTTCATATGCAAAGCTGCAACTGAAGATTGAGCTCAGACAACTGCAATCTTAGGTACCTTCTGCTCTGTGCTCCCCAGTTGCACCTGCTCAGCCTGCAAGTTCAGCTGCTGGAGATCCTTAGGACCTGGGTGCAAACAGAGCCATAAGATTCTGGGGCGAGATCGTATGAAAGTAACTCACTGCAATGCAGTAGGTTCCTAGATTTATATTATTTTTTGTCTTATCTGCAAAGGAAAAGATTTCAGCTTTTAAGGTATTAGGATTAATGCAAACGAAAAAATAAATCAAACTTAAGGTTAAGTTAGATCATGAAATCCAGCATGCTTCATCAAAGCATTCTCTGGCAACTGCCAGAGCCATTGATTTAGCAGATTTTCTGCTCTGTATTACAAAATAAAGTTAAACATTTAATGGGAACTTTGTTTTCCTTGAGCTTCCTTCTTTTTGATTCAGTTTGGAGGGTGCAATGTTGCGTTCTTTGAGAACAACTGCTCTGTTTCAGTGCTGCTAATGAGCTTTTCCATATAGACATTTTTGTTGTTTTATCCTCATTCTGCTGGTACTTCTGGAAAGTAATTGGCCAGTTGCCTGGCAGTAAGCTTATTCATTTTTTAAATAGTTGGTTTTTTTTTTCTCGCTTTTTTTGGAGTATATTTTTGATCCAGAGCTTGGAAAATGTGCTGTGGGTTAGAGAGAAGCTACCAGCTGGTTGCTGGGAAAATGTGTTCTTTAAAAATGAAAAGGTTATAAATGCTTTTTTCTTTTAAATAGAAAATAAAATTATATTAATAATCAACTACAGCTGAACATCTGTCGCTTTTACCATTAAGTGTGGTATATTGGGTGAAAGAAGAACAAAGGGCCAAATGAGGTGTAGGTACAGCTTTTATAGTTTGTGAATCTAGACAGCAGGGGATCTATTCTAAATAGTAAGACATTGCTAGGGACAATAGGATGTGTCTAAAGTTACCATAATGTTTGTTGAATGGAGACTTGTCAGTTTGATAAAAAGAATTAATGTTAGAGAGTGGCCACTGGCAAGATCCTGTGCCAAGATGCCACAGCCCTGTGCCCAGCTGGGCAAAGCCTTCCTCTTCTCCCTTGCCAGCAAATGTCCCAGTAAGGAATGGAGATGAATGGAGATATAAATGGTGTAGAAAACTTTGTGTATTTATTTCTCTCCCCTTGGTCTTTTTCTGATGTAGGAAGAAGTGGAGAAAAAAATGGAACAACTCTCAGGTGAACTCCCTGGCATAGGCAGGAGTGGAGGAGTGCTGCCACTGCCATCATCTTGGAAGATGGTGTGTGCTTCTTGCTGCAGGAGACCAGTGCCCCTTTTTACCTCATTCTGTTAAGGAAGGTCTGTGCAAATCTTTTTCTAGGATCTGTGTCGACTGCTAGAGGTAAGTGCCGTTAACTGCATGGTTTGCAGGTATCACAGGCAATTCCTGTCGTGCTCTGCCCGTTGCTGCACCCTGCCATGCACGCAGTTTTTGTTTTCTAATCCTTTGCTGCATCCATCCTTGTATGCAGTCTGCAGACTTTACAGACAAGGGACTAAGGTGAGACCACAGCCATGTAATAACTGACCTTCAAAGAGCAAAGTTTATTTCAACTGTATTTTGATGAAGATTCAGCTGCAGGATTTAGATGGTAAAGGACACAGGTGAATGCAGTAATTTTCTTTCCTATCCTTAATGCCTTGTCTTACATAGGATGAGAGACACTCATTTAGCATGAATGAGCACAGCTTCCTTGGTTTTATCAGAGCAATGTTTATTTTCTTTAGCTGGGAACAGTTTATGTCATGGTGTTTCCTTGCTGTGCCTGAAAGCACCAAGCGGTGCCTCTGACTTTCATTTGCTTTGCCAGAGCAGCTGGTAATTATCAGTTAAACTATCAGTTGGCTTTAACATTCACTTTTAAAGGGAAGGCAGCTTTTTTTAGATAGCCCATTTAGTTGAATCACCGTAACAAACCAACGCAGTATTCGTTCTTTGACTTCCCCAGACGCGTACATACAGATATGGGCTTTTGTGGACTTTTTTCATCTGTGACAGAAATCTTCGAGAATTTGATCTTAAATGTATTGCTAGATAGATACTTTAACACTTCTGGCAAGCCAGCTCTCTGCGTGGTTTCTTAGCTTTTACACGGTTTTCAGCTTGTTCTTCTCCTACACCATATGTAAGTACTGTGGTTTATGCTGGCTGATGTTGAGTATTTTCTTCAAATGGGACAAAATCTGACAGCACAGGGAAAATGCAGATGCAGCAGAACATGCTGGTTTGTACGTGCTCTTAACAAACAATATGGCAATTTAGAACTTATTTTTGCTATCTCAGTGTTAAGTGAAGGCGAGAACTATGCACTAACAGAACGTTAGAATCTCATATGAATGGTCAATAGGAGGAAAACAATTGTACTCTTCTGGAATTTTGCCAAAAAAACTGCGGTTAACTTCATAGCTTTACAAATATGTAATTCAGTTCTGTGGGGATGATGATCCCAGAGGTGGTCACTGAGGGACAGCCTGCAAATTCTTCCAGGAAGCAGTATGTCACTGCTTAATGGGTGACACTTCTGCATCTAGCTTAGACATGTAGAAAAAACTAACGATGATGTGTCCTGCTCAACATCCAGCAGCTCTCGCTGACTTTTTCCTGATCCTTGCTTAATATTATTTCCTCCTTCAAAGTTTCTTACCTATATGTGATTCCAGGCAGGAGTTGGTAGCACCAAGCAGGATCACAGTCTGGCAAGTTAAGCCAAATTCTGTACCTTTGAAAGCTGCAAGTTGGGTGGGCAACAAGTAGGAAAAAGTCTGCAGATTGCTCCTGTGTTCAGAGTGATGAGGTCCAAACCTTCAGGTGGGAGAAGGGCTGTAATTGCAGAATCCTGTCTTTTGCTTTTAAATGAATTTCACAAGCAGAGGTGTCTGTAGCCATGTTCCAAAGTTTAATGTAAATAAATCAGTGATTGAAATTTGAACGTTTTAGGAAAAAAACAACAAAAACTCACCACCTTCAGGAATACTGCTTTTGAAAGAAGCCATACTAGTCTAAAATATGTGCAAACTGAAGTGCTTCTTAGATCCAAAGCTGGTTTTTATCACCCTCAGCAGAGCCCTGATTCACTGTCATTCTTCATTTGCTAACTTCTGCCATCCTTTTGCTCCTCTTAGCTGGTGTGAAGTTAAAAGTATGGGCAGCAGTGATCCAGCCAGCTGGGGTTTTGAAAAGAAACCTGTAATGCCAAATGTGAATGCTGAGCAGCTGACTCTGTTAGTACCTGTCAGACTGGGCGGATCAGAAAATGCAGCAGAGGTAGGAACAAGCCTGCAAATCCAGCTTCCTCAATTACACACCCATGGGAATATTTAAGGTATTACACGCATATAAGGTTAGTCTTTCTTTTGGGCCTTCTGGGAGGAGTGCAAGTGTCACATCAGATGACTTCCTGATGTCTTGTCTAACCTCACTCATTTCAAGTCCTCACTTATTCCTCAGCCTATGAATTAGGATGACTAAAAGTTGAGTAACAGTGACGTGAGCTGAAGGCAGACATCAGTCTAGGTCACACAGTGCTTGTGTTTCCCATCAGTAGCCAGTGTCCTTGGATCAGTCTTGGGAGACCTGGCAAATCCTTGTTTACCTCTACAGCTGCAAATTAAAGGTTGCAGACCTGGGAATGGTTGATAAGGTGAAAAGCAGGGCTAGCAAAGCACTCTTGAATATTCTGCATGTAGCAGATTAGCAGCCATGCATCATGTAGCAGTTTCCAGTGGTACGCTGCCCTGTGGCTTAGATGCCAGGGAACTGCAGAGTTCTGTGGTGCTCCCCTCTGGGAACCAGGTCCTGACTCATGCTCTCTCTGCAGTGAATATATATTCATTTTCCAGCATGTGTTTCCTGCAAGGAGGCCCACAAGGGGCAGTAACTATTTTTTAAGTGTTCTGTTCTTTTCAACCAGGCTAGTTAGGGGTTGGCATAAATACTTGCTGCATTATGAGTATGTCCCAGATTTTATTGACTACATTTGTGTCACTCGTGGTGATGTGCTGTTAAAATGCTTTACGAGTTAGACAGTCTTTATATTTTTTACGTCTTCAAAGAGGGCCTGAATTGCTCACTTTGAATGGTTTTTTAAGAATTGTGAGAACATAGCATATATTTTCTAAGTCCTTATAGACCTGCAGTACATCTGTTTCAAAGCACAGAAGTGTAGACTGTGTCTCTAAAACAATTGTTTGTAACTCTTCCCGTTCTGACTATGTGGGAGAGAAAATTACCAAAATAGCTGTTGTATGAAACCCACCAGTAAGTTTCATTTCTGAATTTGAAGTCATTTGTACTTGGCAAAGCCAACGTGGCTGAGCTGCAGCAGGCCTCCCTGATGGACTGAGTGGCATCACACTTGTGAACACTCGATGCAAGTCACTGGGGAAAAGAGCATCCATAGGGATGGGACCGTGACAAGGTGAATTTAAAAGAAACTCAGGGAATGTAAGTATACAGAAACTAGGGAAAAAACTTTATTCTTCAACTCTTCCCCAGGCATCCACTCTTGGCCACAGTTGACAAGGAGATACCAGTGCTGACAGATCTTTTGCCTGACAGATGTAGCTGCTCTTGCAGGACTGCTGTGAGTGGTAAACATGCCCATCTGTGCTGTGAAGCTGGAGGCAGACCTTCAGAAAGGTAAAATGTGTACATATATGCAAAAAAAAAGAGCATCTTTCTGATCCTATCAGAGCTTTGGCGTGGATTCTTTGTTGCTATGACTTGGCAAAAAATTGAGAAACTTCCCCAAACCAGGGTCTTAGCACTTAAGACCTACACAAGTTCATTGCCCAGGATTGTGCTGCTCTTCTGGAATGCTCTGAGATCTCATGAAAGTCTTGAAAAGGAAGTGTTCCTTCATACTGACTGGCCTGCATGTGAGCTTTCCAGACTGGTTAAAGCTTAATTAAAAATTGCCAGAGTGGCTAAATTCTTTTCTAAGTGCAGCTGCAAAATATTAGCTGTGGGCATGTTTTAGACCTTAATTAGTAACACTTGCACTGGAGGACCAAAATCCTTCATGCATGCAGCTGCTATAAATTAACATCAGTTAGGCATTTCTTTAGGCAGTACAAAGGTCTCTTGAAAATGGTGTTAGAGCCCACCTAGATTAAGAAACATATATCACTTATGCAATGAACTGCAAAATCAAAGATAACTAGAAAATGTCTTTATTGAAAAAAGCAGATTATAGCATCTAAGGTTAAATGAAACGTCTGACTTTAATATTAAATAACTTAGGGTGATAGCAAGTAGCTTCATCTTTAGATAAATAAATCTACATTTCCCAATTATTTTTCTTCAACAATCAAGGGAATCAAACACTGAAACACAAAACCACAAGTAATTCTAAAAACTAAAAGACAGAAGCACATTCAAAAGTTTTACAAGGATATATACAAAAATAGTTAAACTAATGTATATTTTCAGCATGTAAACTAGTTACATGATATACAAACAGGGAATTTATATATTTCCTACAAAATAAAAATCAATGTTGGTCCAAGTTCTTGGAAGAAAACTATATTCTTTTAAAGAAAATGAAAATATTTCTCAAATGAAAACTTAATTTAAGTCAAATTATACACTCTAGTTACGGCATTAGTTACAGGATGAATGACAAACTTTTAAACTTTCCTTGAAACGCAAGAAAGCAGCTTTTGTCTCCTTTAGAGCTTTGGTTTACTTAACTACTCTGGAATTTCTGGTCTTAAAGAGCTCCTCTACCATGTTTTCCTTTTGAAGCTCCACCTTACAAAATATACATACACACACACACGTGCACACAAGTGAAAAGAAACAGAGAGAAACCCAAACAAACTCCTTCTGAAAGCTCAATTATCTGAGTGCATTCTTTTGTTTTGTTTTTCAGTTATTATTTTGGTCCTTTCTTTGGAACGCTTCCTCCAGCGCATGAGGGACTCTGAATCACCGAGAACAGCTCTGTGCTGCAGGGACTTGGTGAGACTACCTCAGCAAAGAGGTCAGGTGCATTCCTGATAGTTGGTATTGTTTTAACTTTATGGACATATTCTGACAGTACAGAACATAAAAGGCCGCTGATGAACAGCCACATCATAAAACGAGCTCCAGAAAGTTTACATCTGTGTTGAACTGATTTAAGAATGTACTCCTTAGGAATATAACTAAATGAAGTTTTCTCACTTACATAATTCTCCAGACAGGAGGTAAAATGTGCAGAAGCTGTTGCTAGCACTACAGCACACATCGCTATTTCAGATTAGCTTTTATTTTTTTTTTTCCTCTGTTCTTTGACTAAAAGCTGGCAAATCTCACCCAACTGCCAGTTTTTATATTAAATGCTGGAAAAGCAAACTTTATTATCCAAAACCAAAATGCACCTGTCTGTAGGAAATACTGGAACAACTGCTGCTTTCTGGTTTTAAACAGATTTCCTATTCTATAGTGAAACTGTAACTTTCAACATAGCACTGTGAGGATACTTAACACATTGGAACTGAGCAGAACTACAAGCAGGACAAATTGACATGTGAAATTAAATATTATTCTGTTCTAAAGTATGATCATTTAAAAAAAAAAAAAGAGGAAAAGGTAAATACATGTACGTGTTAGATCATGCTGACCCTTGAAAAGTAATGCTGAGCTGGAAACTTAACCTTGTTGTTGACTGGAGGTGGAAGTGCTGAGGAAGGTGCTGGTGGAAGCCCAGCTAAATGCCAGAGTCACCTCCACCTCTGGCCACAGTGGTTTTTAAGGTTTTTGCATCAGTGTACAGCATGTACTGCTATGGGATGACTTGCTCACAGGAACAGACTCAAACATTCTCTGTGTATTTGAATGATTGTTTTCTTAATTTGAATTCTTTAGTATGTAATTGTAAAGACAAGCAATTAGAAATACCTCAAAGATAGATGTGGGCCAAAGCAGCTTCCTTAAATGGAAAAGTATTACGTTGCAGCTCAGGCTAAAAGTTTATCCTGAAGCTCTATCTTCATTTCCTAGTGTTTGTAGTAACCTTAATGGAATTCACCTAGTTATATAACCCAACTGAAGACAATTGTTTCTTTTTCCAGAATTTGCTGTTTGGGCAAGAGGCACCTGTACTTCTGCTTCCCTCTTGAGGCTGGTTTGGTGACTCTGGGCACAGAGGTAAAGGCATGTGTGCATGCAGCCAATGTCTACCCTTCTGCAAAGGAGGATTCCTAGCTCACACTGCTGAAACAGGACACTAGTTATACAGTAATTCCTACAAAACACAGCTCTCACACTAACTTGTATATTAATTAGAAAATTACTTTTTAAAGGAGTATCTGACTTGCCAAAGAGCATTCAGTAGAACAGGTTCACCTAGGCCAGAGGAAGTTTGGTAGAAGTTCAGAAAACATAGCTTTTGTTCCTTACTAACAGAAAAAAAAAATAGTGCACAAGAATTTTTCCTGCCTCCCTGCTCTTCCCCACCTCCCCAAGGAAATTCCAGACTGTCAAAAAATTCTGTTAAGGGAGTTAATTATTCCACTTTGGAATTAGGGTCCATTGGATGCCCTTTGTACTTTTTTCAAGAGCACCACAAATGGCTTTCAAAAAATCAGTGGAGCATAAGAAACTAAACTGCAGTGGTGTTACCAAATAAGTCATTTCATCAGTCTGCATGCTGAATTTAACGTGATCATTTCTGAACGGGCCAGTCAGATTCTTGACATGCTGAGAACTCGCACTGAAGCGTCCCAATTTACTCATGCCGAGAATCTGGTCTGGTATTTCCACTTCCTCTGGAGCAGAAGAGTTTTATTTTATTGTAATTTTGGATACAAAGACAGCAATGATGGATTTATTTAAAATATAAATTCAGGAAGGCTGGATAAATTCTCATGAGAATGCAAGGAATTTTTTAAACATACAGATGTGTGATTTGCATGTAAATCATCAACACATGGTAGAAAAACCATAAAAAAAGATTCATCGAACTTCCTATATGGAAGACATACATTTCCCCAGAGCTCTGAGGTTACTGTAACAGCTTATGCAAAACATGAAAGTGTACATTCTATGTACATCTAATACTTGTTATAAAACATCAGTGTTTCAACTGTCTAAGTTATTATTTCTGCTAAACTGTGTTGTGTTTTTCCATTGAAGATAACCACCATAATCTGTTGAAAAGTACATCTAGAAAAGGACACAAAGCTGAAAAGATAATACAAAAACCGCAGCCCCTCCATTTTAATAATGTCTTAACATACAATCTTAAAGCAGTTGGTAACAAATGAACAAATAGTAGCCTGCATAAAACAGGTAGTGTAAGGTTTACCTTTGCATAGAAAGGGGCTGCTAACTCTGTTAAACAAACAAAAAAATTTAAAGATGAATTGCTTACTAAGTGCCAAATCATCAATGTCACTTGAATGCATTTTGAAGCTACGGCTACACTTGTACATAACAAGCAATTACAGAGCTCAGTACCTTCCTTCAATTTTACAACCCTGCATGCACTGTTCTTTTGGATATATTCTTCTGTAACGTGTTTTTTATGAGACCCTTGACATTCTTCTTTAACAAAGTTAGTCCTTAGATCACTGTGGAACCATGTAGGTTGAAAAGTTGTCCTGATATGTCTTCACAGAATGCCATTATCTAACCCATGCTGAAAGCTGTCATTGCTGAAGACACTCGTTTGCTTCCTATTCACTAATTCTGGGAATGTACTGTTTTTAAAATGTGAGACTTGTATTCTCTAAGACCAGATTTCAAGGAAACTAGTGAAAATGCTGGCATTTATCTTACCATGCCTGCTGCAATGTGATAAAGGTGCTAAATTTTGGAAATTTATTCTATACTCCTTACTTGGCAAAAACCTCCACTGAAGAAACGTGAGCAAGGAGTGCAGAACAGCCCTTTGTACCACTGTTTTTAAAAATGCTGCCACTTACAGTTATGACTTGATGGCGCATTATTTGTTCAAGTAGACGGTGCCTCAGTGAAAACGTCTAAATAAAAGAACGCATATATACAAGATTAGAAAGAACCCCTTACCTCTGATTTAAAAAATAAATAGATGGTTTAGAAGGTTATTACTGGAATATCATCTTTAAAGGAACAGGAAAGTCACTTTTAAATTTGTCTTCTCTTTTGAACGGCTTACTGGCAATGGAAATGTCTTTCAGAGTTCCGTCACGTGCATTGGATAGCTTGGCGGGGGATGCGATGGCAACTTAATATTGAGGCGCCTGATATGACAGCTGTGACAGAGCAAGTGGCCCTCTAATGGGTAACAACGATGGCCTTCCTCATCATTGAGCTGCAAGCCACAATCCTAGAAGAAAAATATACATCCCAGTTTTATGAGAGACTCAGGTAGGTCGTCTTATATCAACACTGATTAACCCTGCAAGCTCCCTCTCGCGCCACAAAAGACAGCGACATCAAGAGTTTATGGTAGACGGGTCCTGTCTATCCTGCATTAAACAAAATGACATCACTAAAATCTACTAGGACTAGCTGTAGTAATTCTAGCCCAATTCTAGCCCAATTCTTTTTCCTCTCTCCATCTTTTCAATGTCGATGCAAATCAAACAAAAACTCTCTAAAACCGTATTCCTTTTTCTGTAATAAGAAAGTCCATTTCTTCAGTGGATTTCAGTTT